ACAATAAAACAAGAAGATGTCTATTTATATATTTATTAAATTGATCCGAGATCCCAACAATAACATGCTACTTAGGGAGTGGTCATTATTTATGGGGGGTGGTAAATGGGAGGGGGGAGGGGCAAACAAAGTTTTACCCTTTTTACCCAAACAAAGTTTTAACATAGAGAAAGGGGGGGGGGGTAAAAAAGTTTTTGAACTTAAATACCATTTCTAGAGTTCTGGTTTCTATAATCACAAATAGCAAAAAAGAAGACACTGAAAATGCCATTTCCAATTATCTAGAGACTCAAAATATTCAAAATTTCCCTGCTCTGTGCCAACCATGGTAGTGCCTTGTGGGAGTGGTGCCCACTAAGTTTAACAAGCTTCCTACCCCCTGAGTGACCCAGCTGTGGTATTTACATAAACATACCATGCAAGTACACTTAACTGATCAGATTCGGTCTATCAAAGCACAATGTAACGCTGTATATCCAAAAACCTGTTTCAGAAAATGCTCACATTTCAGTCCTGGGGAAAAATACAAAAAAAATTTCCCCAGACTCCCCCTACTAATACATACAATACCACACCAAACTTTTTGTCACCAACAACCATCTGTCATCTCTCCACACTCAGTATAGTATGGTCCCTTTTTGTAGATGCCCACCCCCCAGACAAGTTCTTAAAAAAAGCCCTGTGTTCAAATCATTTTGCTGTATGAAGACGGGCCATGGGTTAGGGTTTATTTTTAATCATATATGGTTGAATCATATTCACCAGGGTAAAACATCATGAGCTAGATTTAAACAGATTGTCCTAATATCTAACTTTACCTGCAATGCACGCCTGTTTCATTGCTGTTAATTTTTCAATCCACACTGGGGGGGGGCAGAAAAGTTTCTATTTTAAGAGGGGGGAGGCACAAAAAGTTTGCCTTCAGTCTGGAGAGGAGGGGTCAACGAAGTTTTTAATCCTTATTTTCCCCATTTACCAACCCCCCTCCCCATAAATAATGACCACTCCCTTAATTTGTTTATATTAATTATATATGATACATATGATAATACAATAAAAACTTGTTTTATTGCTTTAAAACAAGTGGAGCTCTCTGATGGTTTGAAATGGGCTGTTATGACACTGATTTGTCCATGCTGAGGATTCCACAGCTCGATTTGCCACAAAAACCCATAGATATCTATGCAAAAACTCCAGGATCAGTCGATCAGCTCGTCTTGAAATACGTACACGATCCAGTCGCGTCGGCCAAAGACAACAAAACTTTGAAAATCGCACAGATATAAATTCTACAAAAATATTAAAACAACTCCTAAGTCTTCTAAATAATATTTTAGCACTTTAACAACAATTCATTGAAAATATCATCTTTGATGGCGTAAATTCTTTCCACGGTATTAGACGCCATTTTAGCGAACGTCGAGTTGACAGTAGTCACTTCAACGGTCAATATCTTGAAAACTGCCGGGGGATCACCGGGATCATTCCAGCAGATTTAAAGCTTATATATTTTTCTTGACGACTACCAAAAATGAAGAAAATCGAACCATGGAAATTCTAGATATTTTATTTTAAACATCGTAAACATATTTAGACTTGAGTCAACACGTCGCGGGGAGTCGACTAACTTCAAACATCAAAATAACATTGAAAATAAAGTTTACCTCAGAGATTTTTGCAGATATCGCCAGATCTTTAGTAGTAGTACTACAATACTTGAGATTTTGCAAGAAAATTTTAATATTAATATTTTTTTCCGATTTATTTTCCGTCGAATGCAAATTTTTCTGTCCAAATTCTGCAGATAACACGATGGAAAATAGAGCGATCTCATTGGTCGAGAGCTCACGTGACAACTCGCTAATTAGCTGTCCAACCTCCTCTGATACCGATCCACGCTAAGGTAATCGTACTATCGGTGAACAATATACTTTCTTGAAGCGGAATGCGAACTTCTTTCCCTATGGTTTTGCACAACCTGCTGGCCAACACTGCTGCCTGGAGTTCTACTGCGCAATAGTGAGTTTCTTCAATGGGGCTACTTTTGATTTAGCTGCAACGCATCTAACATGGACTGATCCAGTAGACTGTTCGCTTCTGAGATACGCACATGTCCCAAAGTCTCGCTCGAAGTGTCAGCAAAAACACACAAGATCGGTGGTTCACGGATGACGATTGGACATATACATCTATGTTGTTCAGCTGGGATATGTTGTTCAGCTGCTCCATTTCTTCCATGTATGATAGCCACTTTCGGTGACAGTTCATCATCCCAGCCAAGAACCTCCTGGTATAACTCTTGCAAACCAATCTTTGCCCTTACCAGATACGGTGCTGCGAAGCCTATCGGGTCATATATTCGGGCGACTTGGCTAAGAATACTTCCTTGGTGAGCTTTGGCTTTTGGGTCATGGTCACCACGACTTTCCCTTTGTACTTGAGCACATCATCTTTGTTACTGCAAACTACACCGAGCACGTTTGCGTCTTGTTTACTTTGAGAAACATTGATCTCTTCTTCATCTTTCTCAGGGGCGGATCTAGGATTTTTCGTACGTTAGTCAAAAATTTCGTTGCTGAACATTAGCCTTTTGACTGGGGGAGGGGGTACTTTTCACGGGGGGAGGACGGGGGGGAAGGGGGTGGTGCCAAGCAAATTAATTTTTTTAATATATGTTCTGTTTACGAAAAAATCTAACTTAAAAAAATTGCTTTTTCGCCCAATGTCAAACAGGTATCCAATTCTCATCGAGAAATAGATTGACAAGGATGACTTGACGTTTTAAAAATTGTTATTTAATCGCATATTTTTTGCTTTGACATGGATGGTCCAAAAATTTTGCAATATAGTGATGCAATTTAAAACATTTGATTGATTGTTAAGCAGGAAGAGAATTTCCACGTTTAATTAACTGCTCCTCGAGTTTCATTCATAACAGAAACATGCGCCATAAATAAGTATTCACAATGGCAACATGACCCATTTTACTTGCTGTATACATGTTGTAGAGATCGTATTACACAAGGCCATGCTACATTGTCGTGTTCTTGTAGTTTAACTGAAATAGGCTAGGTATAAATAATATTAATACAGTGTTATTCAGTTATTAATATATAAAGTCCACATGTCACAAGAAGCATAAACAAAGTAGAAACACACTGAAACTGCCTGTATTAAGCCGCAGTATTTATGTCAATTGACGGAAATATTATGTAAATTTCGTCTCGTATTATTATACGTCTTAGACGCGTATCCGCCGATATTATAGCATGTGCGTACAGACGCACAATCCACCACAGACACAGTATAAAGCAGTATACAACAGTTATAATGCTATATCTAGTTAGAATCTCTCGAACGTACTTCGATGTATAATTCCGCACCAAATTTCGTGCGAGTAATATATAAGGCTGCTTATGTTGTTCACAACGCTCAATAAATCTTTAATAGAAAGCTTTGGTACGCCGTCACTCGCTTGTTTAAATCAGTTTCAATATCTTTGACATTTTGTCGATCGTCATTCTCTAAAGCAGCCTTTACGGTTTCGTAAATACTAACAGACATGGTTAGCATTAGTTCAGAATTTCTGATAGTATATCTTCCCTTTGAACTTTAAGAATTTTGCGGTCTAGCACGAAGTAACGATCAGAAAGGACCAGAAACGTCATAGACCTTTCCGTGCACTAATAAAGCCTGAACGGTATGATCGATCAAAAAAATCCAGCCAATGGGGATTCAGGATTGTTTTGAATTAGCCAATCGGATCGCCTGTATTCGAGCCCCTGATCGCTTTAGCGATCAGAACTCCCCACAGATCGCGCAAAAATCGAGATAGCCAATCAGATAGCTGGAATTTGACTCAGAGCGTGCAAAACTCATGCGTAAGACCGCTTTTCTGCGCGTTCATGCTCGAAGGCCTTAATTGCTACTGAATGATATTTCCAAACTGGACTATTAAACTTCCAACACATTACACTGCGCGAAGTTTGATAACTGGACTGCTATCTTAATTTAACAATTTTCTACTTTTCTGGCCAATTCTTACCTTAGTCGCGTGATCGCTCTGATCACCCCTAGATCCGCCCCTGATCTTTCTATTTGCTCGTTTGGTTCAGCTCTTCGCTGGACTGAAATCTCTTTACCTGGAATCCGCCTTTCTCGAGGATGCAATCATTCACAGTTGTTAACTCTCTGGCTTCTTGGTTCGTGGAAACTGAATCGAGGATGCCATCCATGTATGATTGTCCCTGATAACTCGTGCTGCTCTCTGGCTCTCCGATTCTCCTTCTTCCGCCGTGTTTCGTTACACTACTTGCGCCATCGCTGGTGCGGGCTTGTCACCAAACGTGAGTACATTGATGACATAAGTGTCCGGTGGTCGATCGATCTCTAAATCCCTCCAAAGGAGTCGGTGTACATGTTGGTCTTCCATGGGGATAAGGACTCTGTGGTACATCTTTGAGATGTCAGCAGTGATTGCAACTTTAATCCTTCTAAACAGAAGAATAACTCCGAATAAACCATTTAGAAGTTTGAGGCTGGAGTGCTTGTGTTGTCAGGTCTTAGTATGGCATGATGTGAGATGTAGTGGTCTGGTCCTTAATAATCTTGTATCTCTTCATCTGACAACTTACGAGAGAAGTTCATTTCTCTCATTTCTACCATCTTATTGTTATATACGCAGCAGCTTGCTCAGGATTCTTTAATAACCGACGTTCCGTTTGTTAGTTTGAAACGGCTACTAACGACAGGTACTGCAAAAGAAATTCGATACTAGATAATATGTATAGACTTGTCAAAAGTGTTTTTCTACCATTAACATACTGACATGAATTCCTGGATATGGTCTACCTTAACAAAGCGTTAGTTCTATCTAATGACCATAATATCCATGTAAAGACAACAGATTGGTTGTGCAGTAAATAAGTTATTTCGAATGACGTAATATGTGGGCATCGACCCCATGCAGGTAAGCAGGCCTGTGAGAAGGCAAAGGGAATATGTCCAATGGTCCATTGGATCCAATGGATCCATTGGACATGCATATGTCCAATGGACATTCCACTTGTCCATTGGATCCAATGGACATAGATATGTCCAGTAGATATTTCATTTGTCCATTGGATCCAATGGACAGGCATATGTCCAGTGGACATTTGGTAGTGCGGTAAATAAGTTAACAGGAATGACGTCATAGGTTGACATCGACCCCATGCTGGCAGCAGGCCTGTGGGATGGCAAAGGAAGTATGTCCAATGGTCCATTCGAATGACGTAATATGTGGGCGTCAACCCCATGCAGGTAAGCAGGCCTGTGAGATGGCAAAGGAAGTATGTCCAATGGTCCATTGGATCCAATGGATCCATTGGACATGCCAGGCGTATGTCCAATGGACATTTCAGTTGTCCATTGGATCCAATGGACATAGATATGTCCAGTGGACATTAGAGTTGTCCATTGGATCCAATAGGATACGCATATGTCAAATGGGCATTTGAATTGTGCGTTGAATGTATAATTGCCAGGATTTTGTCCATTGGATCCAATGGACAGGCATATGTCCAGTGGACATTTGGTAGTGCGGTAAATAAGTTAACAGGAATGACGTCATAGGTTGACATCGACCCCATGCTGGCAGCAGGCCTGTGGGATGGCAAAGGAAGTATGTCCAATGGTCCATTGGATCCAATGGATCCAATGGACAGGCGTATGTCCAATGGACATTTCAGTTGTCCATTGGATCCAATGGACATAGATATGTCCAGTGGACATTAGAGTTGTCCATTGGATCCAATAGGATACGCATATGTCAAATGGGCATTTGAATTGTGCGTTGAATGTATAATTGCCAGGCATATATGCAATGTGTAAATTATTTGTATGCCATTTGATAGTTACAGTTTACAGGGCCTATTAAGTACTAGTTAAAACATGAGCAGTCGGTCTTTATCTGATAGACAAGTGCTTAAATAACGACCCATCTTATGAGTTCATTGACGAAGTATTTTTAAAAATAAACATTGTCTAAGGCGCAAAAATCAAAGCTAAAGTTTATGTAAATCAGGATCGCATCTTTATCTGATTAACAAACATTGATTAAAGATTCACTTATTTTTTAATGAAATATAAGATATTCAATATACAATTATCAGTTGGTTTATTCTGATAATTCTGTATGCGACTATAAACATACGCGTTTATAAACTATTTCAGGACTGGTGTTTCTTTAGTAAGGAATTGTCTGAGAAGCGAAGTACTTTTAAGCGACGCGGTTGCCAGTTACGTTAATCGCAGTTATGAACAGTGTAGCGAAGAATGCCCTTACGAGTGTAACTAATTAAACCTCAGTGATTAAACCGCATAATTAAGACACGTGCTGTTCAGAGTTCATTTCAATGCTGAATGTTAAAATTATTATACAGTAGGTGAATTAATTTTGTAACTTATAAGATATGAAACTTTGTTTCACATTTATTTGTATGCTTACTGTTTAATTAATTTAACGATAGATCACTATGTTTCATAATTACAAATTATAGCTGAATTAAAATTGCCATTTATTGGCATTGGCCGCATTTCGATTGCCCGATTGCCATCCGGTTGTTTCAAAGCATGCATGCCATTTGATATGGGATTTAGCACATCCATCGTCACCTTCTGTTCCGCATAGCGGATGTGTTTGTTTTGGTGACACGTAAAGGCCGATAAAGCCACTTTTGTGGAAATAGTCACAACCTTGAGCTTCAAAAGATCATATTTGATTAATAGTTTGTGAGACCACCTAATTTCAAAATCTCGTACGCTTTTGAACGCCACGGCGGGCCCCTTGGAAGGCGAGCAGGCAATGCGAAGGCCGAAGCTTAAAAATCATTATTCGCGACAACGGTTTCATAAAAATAATTTATTGTCTTCAATAATTACTTCGTGCACTGACAACCGTGGCCATACTAACATTGCTAACATGACATCGTAATGCCATCGACTTATAATTTTTTCCATATAAAATGGCGATTACGGTAATCAGGGCCTATCAGAGAAATTCGGAGGCCTGGGGCAAATTTTTGTTTCGGGAGCCCTATCTTTCCACAAAAGGTTGGCGAGCGGGGGAGGGGGTTTTATTATTATTATTATTATTATTATTATTAAAAAAATATTTACACAGGATAAAAAATGCTTCAGTGACTATTCACTGCTATCAACGCATGTCCTGTTTACCTAAAACTACCTGAAATTATGAGTGTAAAAAGTCAATATATTAAAAATGTTAAAAATCTAACTGCAGTCAATTCTGTAAAGGATTATAATGAACTAAGGTTCTCTTTAAGTTTTCGTTTAAAAAGCATAAAACTGTCAATTTCTCTAATATCTTTGGGCAATTTGTTGAATTCAATTGCTCCATTGTTCCTTGTGTTCTTTACATGTTGTAACCGTTCAAAATAACTGTGAAAGTTACTACACACATTCCTGTCCATGCATTGTTTCACCAGGAAACACGTTTGCAGCTTTGCAAAGCTCATCAGGTCAGGTAGTCTTAGATCTGCCGATTCACTTGATTTTATTACACTAGAAGCTCGATCCTGGAGATTTTCAATTCGTTTTTCAATTCATTCAAATTTTCAATTCATTCAAAACTTTTTCCGGACATTAAAAAAGGGTTAAAAAATTTTCTGGTCGAACACCAGTTAAACTAAGGTTCAAAAAACTTTTTCCCCACAAATTCCTATTACAACATGGGTCAGACCCTTTTTTTCGATCAATAAATGTGTTATACCATTATTTATAGCAAAAAACGTTCGAAATTATTTTTTAATTTTGAAAATTTTGGTGTCCCCCTTAAACTGGAAGGCCGGCACAAATTGCCCCCAGTGCCTCTGGAAGGCCCTGACCTTTTGGAGAGTGGAAACACTGGTAATGGTCTCTGAGATCTCTGTGATATTGTATTTATAGTCATAGATGGCCAGTCTCGCTGAGGCAGAATCTTTTGAAAATACAACGTATTTCTCGCGAATATTGAGGGTAACAAATGTTCTAGATATTTCTTTTACAGCCGTACGTAGTTTGGTTGATTGTGTTCAGTATTAAGGTGGCTCGATACAGTTTTCAAAAATTCAGGTGTTCAACACTTTGAAATGTTCAAACTATGCATTTTTAGAATATCTTCAGCAGATATTGGGTTTTTTATATATTTCGATATCTCTACTTTCAAATTATATTAGTTTTAGTAACAGATAGTTCGTTGCTATGACGACATACGTGTACAAAATACACTCCAAAATGGCCTTTCGTCTCGTATAGTTGGAAAAGAAGCATGGTGACCACCAATTTTTTTTCTTGCATTATTGTACTTGGACGAAAAGCTAACAATTAGCAAAATATAAAAAAATTCTGTAATGCCATTTTTTTGGAAAATGCGAAAATGTCATATTCTTCGGTAAAATTTTTTTGGCATTACAGAATTTTTTTATTTTTTGTATAATGAAAGTTTTTAGTGGTGCACTACAGCATGCAAAATTTGAACATAGGTCACCAGACAAAATAAAGAGATATAGCGCATTGTTTTTCTAAAATGGAAAATTCTAATGACGTCAGCAATTGACATAAAACGCTATATAGAACACGCGAAATGTCGTGAGATGGCGCGAGCAGCTGCTTACGTCAGGTCATTTTGGAAGTTCTGTCATTTTGTTAATCAGTTTCCGCGACTTGCGCGTAAAAATGGTCACCCGGTTCTGATTTCGCGATTCTTGAGCAGGGTTTTCGTGATAACTATATCGAGCCACCTTAAGACAACCCAAAATTTTTAAAAACTTTATTTTTGTATCATGTGTGTATATAGTATTTTGTTAAGATATATTCGGAGAAGATGCGGCGTGTTATGTTGTTTTTATATGCACAAACTTTTTCAAATTTGGACAATGTTATAAGGCTGCTGAATCGGCAATCGGCTTCCTGTGATTGTTATAGCGGTAGCATATAGTGAGTTACGTGTTGAATGACAACCGGCTAACAAAGTTAATCCTTACACCTGTATTCTAAAAGGTCACTCACATTAATTGAGTGAAGATTCAATCTGAGCATCTCTTGTGTCAATGCTGTTTTTGAATAGCTGGAGAGTGAG